TTATTTTCATTCATTGCTTAGACATTTGATTAATTTATTTATAATGTCAATCATAATATGAATGATCGTTCGCTCGTAGTTTTGTATTTAATAATTCTTTTTATGATTGGTCAAGATGTAAATGTAAGTCACTTTTTATTGTCATAACATTTTTCTTTCGACATTTTACTTTTCGAGGTTATTTTTTTCGAAATCCAAACATTCAACATGTCTAATTTTTGTCTTTTTCCATCATACTGAAAAAAAAGAAATTTAAACTGAAATTAAAATTTTATTATAATTGCCTTAAACAACAATAGAAATATTTTTTATACGACAAGATAAAACTAGTGAAAAGCAATGAAAACAATCTGATCTTTTCATCTTTATTTTATCGAATTTGTGTAGTGAAAATGATTTCAAAATAATCAAACAGTTCTAAGAAAGTAATTAGGAAGTCGTACAATATTTCTACTTTCAATAAATTTATCATTTACTATGTCAGCAAAACAATATCATTAAAATGATGATAGAATATATTATGACAGAAGAAATATCATGATCTTAAGTTTCCAATGAAATGTGAAAATTTCAAAAGCGAGCATAGTCGCTAAAAATTTTCAGACACTCATGTTGACTTGCAAAATATTTTTCAACTCATCGTATTTTATGCATGAGGATGCAAGTTAATACAAATAGTTTTCATTGTTGCGCATAACTGCAAGAAAACAGTATGCGTATACACGTGCATGAAAGTAAAATTTTTAAGATTTCAAACAAAACATGCACGACAATGCATGATTCTTATTATTACAAATAATAGCATGTAACACTCTGGCGTGTTTGTAAAAGATATGTGGCTTGCATGTAAATACCAATGTGTTATTGGTATGTACCTGCGCAAGATGAATAGAATTTTGTTAAGTGCTGCTTGTCAATATAAGAAGATCGTAAATACGGAGATTATTACCCAAGTGATTCTGTATCAGCATGCAGATTTATGCCATTTTATAGTGTGCATGTTGCTTCACGCAGAGATATACATTTATTGTTCTTCGTTGAGTTATTCATTTCTCATTAAGTGAAATAGCCTCATATTTATGTGACAAATCCTCAAGCTTAGAAAAATACGTATATGTACATGAATCATTATAATACATCATACGTAAGAACGCGCCACAGAGTAAAATATATTTTCATCTACATGTATGAAACTTTGCATATGTGTACCTCTAATATTTTCATTACATGCGAGAATGTAAGAATGTTTTTGGAGAGAACCCACACGTATTCACGGAAGGCAACTGTACAATGGTGAAAATACTGCAGACCACAATCGTTACTCATTCTCAAGTTATCTAAACAATAGATTTGGATGTCTTCACTGCTCAAAGTTGTTATCAATAACAAGATGATGAAATCATTATTGCAAATAGGAAGGGATGGACATGATTTTTATGAATATTTTTTTTCGACTTTTACATAGCCCTGGGTCTGCATTGACGTAAGCAAGATCAAGTATTTCCATTTCTTTTTGCTTGAACTTGATTTCGCTTGTAATAAATTAGAGCCAATGTTCCTAATTAGGACAACTTTTTGGGAGCTGTGAAAATTCTATTTTACCTAAGGTTAGGTGTGAGTTTGCTCTTCATCTACATCCATCCCCACACTCGACATGATTTTTATCGACTATTATTTGCAGTAGAATTATCTTTTCATTGTTCTCTTGTGTCAATATCACCATCATAAAATAAGTAGACAATAAACATGCAAATGTTATCTCTGAGTGACAATGCAATATTTTTTATAAATATCTTAATTTTTCAAGGTAAAGAAAGATTGCATCGTAAAAATGAATTCTCAGATTATAAAAATAAAACCTACAAGGCGAACAGTGACTTCATTGATCAGCAATAATAATCTAGCTCCGATGGGCTACTGGACTATTCATGGTTTGGGTCAACCCATTCGTTCCGCTCTATATTAAACAAAAACTTGATTTACACACAAAAAGATATCAAGAGGATGATGCTTGTGTCTTCAGTCGAGAAAGCAGAATTTGTTTTTAAGAAAGCGGCACAGTGCTATTTGACAATGCATCAACAGAAACATCGGAATGTGTCGTTAAATGAAGAACATTCGAAATAACATCGTCTTTATTCGGCATTTGTCTACTGACGAAAAAAATTAGGACAGCGAAACACAACACTACCAGTACTGATTATAACTACCATAACACCGATCACTAAACGTCAAGAAACTATAACGAACGCAAGCATCAGCCCAGATCCCGCAATGAGGATCGGGTAACAAAGAGAGCCTATATAACCTGGAGAAATTCAGTGATGGTGAAATGCAGAAGACTTTTCAATTCATTAAGAGCATCAAACAAATTGACAACATGATCCAAGAGAGATCGATGAGGTTTTATATTGTATGTATATGACTAAATTTGCGAGTGAAGCATGACAATGGTAGAAAATGTGTCGATGAATCAATAGAAAGATTCGAAAGCAGCACCACATTCACGACTTGAACGGACGAAAGCATCTTCGAAAATATTTGAACAGCTGAAAGAATTACCACAACAACTGGATGAAACTATGACTTCATACTACAATGCGATCATCAGATTATGTCTCGAATATAACTCGTTGATGTCACAGGAAATGATGATATCATGGCTGGCAGATAGTGTGAAAGATTCATGAAAGATACAAATAAAATGACAAATAAAAATACTTGGATAATTCTTTGTAACACGTATCACAACTACATCGACTTGCTGAAAATCGAATGCAACTTTCAGCACATATAGAAATTAGACCTGTAAGCATAACCATGAGTTTAAAAAAATTTGAAAATCTTGTAAAGAGATCTAAATAGGAGGGAAAACAGAGATCTTTCACCAAAACTGGGACTTCCATGAACAACAAAATGAAAAAAAACCACTTTTCAATGCTTTCAAATAGAAATAAAGCAAGATAAATTACATATTCTGACTATTTTTCACTTTTTCTACTTTAAAAGTACTTAATAGTACTTTTCTGTTTCATAAACTATATTATATTAAATTTTATACTTTTCAAAGTACTAAAAAGTAATATTAGTAATACAAGCATCCACAAGACTAAAGTACTATGTTCACTAGACAATCACTGCAGTATTTTGCACCATGTGCATGTATATAGGATATACTATTTTCAATTAAAAATATCAAATGAGTAGTTTTTCAATTTCCATATAAAAAAACTTGTAGAGAATATTCAGTGTACATTCATATCTGTATTCGTGACTTCTAATCCAACTATCTTGAGAAAATAGTAAGAAATTTAGAAACAAAAAGCTTAATGTTACCTTCCGGCACTCGAGAATGTTTAAAATAGACTATCGATTACTTTAAAGTAGTTCAGTGACTTTATTAATTAAAAGTACTTATGCTACTATTATTTTAGTTAATACAGTGACTTAATAATTGTCCATTTAAAATTATAATGTGCTTCACTGTTTTCTGAATAACTCTGAATTGTTCAAAGCTATCGAGATCAGATTTTTGTCATAAAATACAGCAAGCTAGAGGACATATTTCTACATAAGACTCATTGTGGCTGAAAAATTTTTCGTGGTTGTGTTTCAGATTGGTACAATATTATTGGTCGTTTTTCATTAATTTTTAAAATGATCTAGACTCAAACTACACTAAAGAGTAGTTCGAGAAGTTCTATATTCATGACAGAAGTTTCGTATCTTTATATTCTTTATTTGAAGAATAGGTCCGAAAAATCGAAGGAGTAATCTAAAAGTTTCATGATGAATATAGAACATCCAAGGTTAGTCTGATGTAGTTTGAGTCCAAATAGCTGTAAAAGCTAATGAAAAACGACAAATAATATGATATTAATTTGAAGCTCAATCATGAAAACTCTTTCGAGCATAATGTATCTTACATCGTTCGATGTTCTCCAGCTTGCTCTAACAAATGACAAAAACTCGACCTCGATAGCTTTCAACGCTCCAAGAGCTATTCAAAAAACAGTAGAGCACATTATATTTTACATGGACAAAATATTATTTTTCGACTCATACTAGTAAAATCGACTATTGCCTACAGTCATCCACTTTCAGTGCAGTTTTGTTCACAATTTATCCCGTCTGATACAGATGTGAAAGTCACATCAGTTGGTATCTATTACTATGTCATAGTCTATAATACTATGAGAACAGAAATATATGACTTTCTGTATTCATTTATTGTCATTCACGATCAGCTATCATTATCTACTTTTCATCCTACTATTTTCCATCATCATAGTATTTAATATTTAAGCACGTTTAAGAGATCATGCACTTTGTTTTCTTTTCCAAAAAATATGAGGACTATATACACTTTAAGAAACGAATTTGTTGTGGCATAAAAAAAGCATCACTCGACGGTTATTAGTCGATAAGAGTAATATGTCTTAAAAGATATGAACTTCTTGAAATAATTTTGAGTTAATTGAAATCTACGATAGCATGATATGACTGAGTTCCGTATTTATGACTTAAAAGAAAAAGATGGCGATGAGGAACAGTGAAATGGAAAGTAGATAATAATAACTGATCGTGGATGACAATGAATGCCTACAAAGAACCATATATTTCTGTTCTCATAGTATTATAGAGTATGACATAATAATAGATGCCAACAGATGTGACTTTCACATCTGTATCATACGGGATAGATTGTGGAAGAAACTGTACCGAAAGTTGGTGGTTGTAGGCAATAGCCGATTTTACTTGTGTAAGCCGAAAAATAATAGTTTTTTCGTTCACAAAATTATCCTTTTGTTTCATTAGAGCTAGAACTGTTTTGGCTTGTGACTTGATGCTCTATTTGAAATGTAATTAATTTTCTTGACGTGTATATTGACATATCTAACATCATTAATGAAATTTGATTGTATATATTTAGATTTCTTGTTTATTCTTTTTTTTCGAAAAATTCTCTCACTCCTATATACGATCAATCAGTTGTAAAAATGAAAATATTCATCACTGGTGCCACTGGATTTATTGGCGAAGAAGTTGCATGTGGTTTAAGAAGAAATGGACATGACGTTCTAGCATTAGTTCGAAATACTGCTAACAATGCGACAGTTCAACGATTAATTCAACAAGAAGTGCAAATCATTCAAGGTGATCTCCTCCAACCAGAAACATACAAACATTCATTACAAGTTTGTGATATCATCATTCATTGTGCTGTTGATATCACAAATTATGGTGAAGTTGATAGCATTGCTGTTGACACCATCCTTTCCGCATGTAGTAAAACCAATGATCCACAGCAGCTAGGAACAAAGAAGAAAATCTTCTTATATACATCAGGGATCATGTGTTACGCCGAACAACTGCAAAAATTGCTAACTGAAGACGATTTGACATTGACTGAAGGATGGCTTTTACATGAACGTCATATCAATGAACAGAAAGTGTTACATTCAACAAATGTCTACGGTTGTGTCATTCGTCCAGCTTGGGTATATGGCAAACGATCGAAACATTTCAATCAATATTTTTTACAAACAATTAACAAGCCGGCAACCATTTTAGTTACGCATCCAAATAAAAGTTATTCACAAATTCATATTGATGATCTTGTCCGATTTTATGTTTTGGCTTGTGAATGTTCGTCACCAGAAATATTTATTCAATCCCAAATTTACAATGTTGCTGATGACAGTCATTATACAAATTTTGAAATAGCACGGGCATTTACAAAATCAATGAATTGGACTGGCCAGCTAATACCAGAAGACGAATGTGAAGAAGAAAAAAGTGATCGATGGAAATTTCGAAATCGGACAATTCTTGTTGATTCAACAAAAGCTAAAAACAATTTTGGATTCAAATGTAAACATAAATTAATGTTAGATGATGTTGAAATATTGAAAAATAGCTCTTTAGCACTGAACACCACCAATCAACAAAACAATCAATAAATCAAAGCAACAATTTTTTTTTAATACTTGCTTTTCTACTACATAAGATATTTGATTTTCTAGCATCTTTATTATTCATCAGATTCAATGTTTATTCAATCTAATACAAGGAAAAAAGCAACATTATAATTAGCTATTGTTGAACTGCATTGTTGGACATTGTTTTCTTTACTTTCGTGAAATTCATATATATTTTTGAAGAAAATATATTGAGTGGAAATTTAAATTGAGATTTTTGCGGCTTCTCCTTTCCATTCCCGACATGAGCAGTCCCTTGCTTACTTTCCCTAGAGACTTTAGCAATCGAGGACAATCGACATCATAATCTTTTTCCAGAGATGTAGGATTTTGGAAAGTTTTCATCAAAATTTTAATGGCTTGAATACATTGATGAATGGTTTAAATGGTGCAATTTTTGATTTTTATTCAGATAAAAATTTATATTCAAAATGTTAATGACAATGAGTAATAGTCAATTAATTTGCCATAGTTGTCATTTGATTAACATCTAAAAAAAGTGAATTGATCAAGTTATAATCTTACAAAATAAGTAACGTGACGCACACGCTGCTAACCCTCTACGGATAGAATGGGCTGCCGTTGAACATATGATATCAGGACAAGAAAATGTGAGAACTGATCTACTCACATACTCATGAAAGAACAAAATTAAAATAATCATCCTTGTTCCAACGCGGAACATGCGGTTCTCGGTATTCTCTAAGGATGTTGTGTATTCTCTATATTTTTCATAAAAATTTCATATACTACGTATTGTTATCGTATTATTGATATTCTGTTATAAGCGCTAGATCATGTCCACAAGGATTTCAATTTTTGAATTTCTAAATCAAGGGACATTAAATATAGATAAGTTGTCTATCATCGTCAGATACTAAAATGTGTCATCAATCAGATGAATATCAAGATTACCGATTGAAGTAGAGCAAGTTTTTCATTCCTATTTCATAAAGATAGCGGATAGTCTGGTTTATGTTTATATATTTTCGTTTTCATAATTCATAATACGAAAAAATGAATTGATTTTGAAAGTCTGAATTCATCAAAAATTCTCATTCAATGAAACGTCGATTCTTTGTCGCTCAAGTAAGTGAACAATTCATCAGTTTCATCTTTGGAAGAACTTTTGTGCTCACAATGAGTTTAGTAATGGCTAAAGATATTTTTCCACATCAATTAAATATCCGCACTACAAGAGCTACGACTATAAAAGCTTCTATGTATACAGTACTCTATAAATATAGATTGAAGTCAAGATTTGCGCTACGATTATACGAGGTGCACCGGAGAAATGATGTGTGCAGGCTTGTTCCATTATGAACTTCACTACGTAGGAAGGAAAAGATTTTATGCATTGAGAGCTTCTCATTTTTTAATTTTATACTGTGGCCATATATGATGAAAATTTGATTCAAACTAACGTAAGTGAGCTGTTAGGAATATTTAGAAGTGTATTACTTTAAGTATCGATCTACGGAAAAGCCGTCTAAATTTCATTGTGTAAGTCACTATTCGATGACAATATGATAAACTGACTTCAAACATGCTTGCCCATTGCTCTCTGAACTTCTCAGACATTGATCATTTACCAGAGGCAAATACCGGTACAATGAATCTGAAGATATTGCAATAGATCTAAATACTTGAATATTCAAGTTATTGACTGCATATTTCTGATAAATAACTAATATGCATGCGAATACATTTTCTCTAAAGAAAACATTATAAAATTCACCACGTATCATGAAACACAATATATGAACTTTAATAACGTTTTCCTGTTATTCTGACATCATTTTATCATTCTTTTAAATACTCGAAAAGCATGTTAAGATAATGTTTGACTTCTGTAGAATAATCAAATAATGTTTATGTATCTAGTTAAAAGCTATGAAGAGTTTTCTGACAATTTTCTAGATAATAATCGATCAGGATAAAGGCGCAAGTGAAAATTAAACTGAGGTCGTGTGAGTGATTAAGAGAGAGATAACAACCCTCGTTCTCACTCACTATTACCCTCAATATCGTAAAAATGATTAAACAATACAAATTGAAGTTAGTCTGTTGTTCTATGATACTTGGCGAACATTTTAACTTTTATTGCAACAAAATATATCTGCATGCATATTAGTTTTGTATCAAAAATATGAAATAAAATTAGTAGCTATAATATTCGAGTATCTAGACCTCTTACAATATTTTTCTTATTTTGTATGCCATCCTTTGTCTCTAATAAGAAATAGATGTCTGAAATTTTTAGAGAACAGAGAGAAAGTATAAAGGGGCATTTTCGGCACGTTTAAGGGTAATAGGTCGTACTTTCACCGTATTGTAACCAACGTAATGCAGTTTAGATGGTTCTTCCGTACATCGATACTTATAGTAAAATGAGCTTAGCTCCACAACGGTTCGATGAGTTTCAATTGAATTTTCATCGCATATAACGAGAGTTCTGGGCTATAAAATGAGGAGTTCTCAACTTAAAAAGTCTTTGTCTTTCTAAATTATGAAATCCATAATCAAAATAGATGGCGCATATCATTATTCTACTAAATCTCCCTGCAACCGTAGCGCGAAGTTTGATGTCGATCTAGATTTATCAAGAACTATATATATAGAAGTTTTTAGAGTAGTAATTCCTGTAGCAACTAAGATCCGAGAGGATACTTTTGTACAACAGTGCATTATTTTTCTTGTTCAGTGATATTTGACGGCTGGCTGTCTCGCACATGCATTGTATGAACGTTCGATAAACAGGACCATTTGAAACTGAGGAAATTATAATATTGTTATTCTCTATTTAAAACTGTCACGACTCACGAAACGGCGTACTCAAGAGAAAGAATTCCTAACTGCCAGAATGTAGAGCTCGTCGATTTGACTATACAATGCCATGAATTCAGTTTAGTAACTATTACTGAGGTCCTAGAAATAATTCTTTCTTTTATCTTCTGATTTTTACAGAAAAAAGTTTTTCGTCTTTTTCTCTTGGTCAAAGACCTGACGCTGCCATTTGAATTCTCTAGAGCTGATAAAGGCTGAAAAAAAAATAGTGTTTTATAATCAATTTGACATGTTCTATAATCAGGATGGACCACTAAAGTTTTCTACAAACGATTTTATTATGATGAAATTTCCGATAATCAATAGAATTGATGGAAGAAGCGTTGAAAACTTAGAGGCTCTCCATTGTACATGTCGAAATATATGACAAGATACATTTCAAACTCTTTGCAATGGATAAGAGTTCTTTATAAGAACTGATCCGTCTGTAGCTTTGTTGTACCTATCATATACATTTTGCATTTTCTCTATTCTATTAAAGTATATTCTCTCTTCATTTCAAATCTATTTCATAGATTTCTATTCTATCCTTTGTATGCTCTTAGTATATTTCCAATCTCACTGTATCCGGTCTATTTCTGCCGTATCCGGAATATTGAGAATCGACTTCTGTGAGACTAGAACATATTTTCGATGAAAATAACGAGTGTAAGTTTCAAGTTGACGTTTCTGCCTTACTTTCTCAATATCAGGTCTTGGCGTCTCTCTCCCTTCCGATTATAAAAGCTAGCTATCGGTTTGAAAACTCCTAGACGACCATAATTATGAAATACCATGGACTAATATCAATAATGTTCGAGAAGAATTGAGTTGGAATATTGAGAATCCTAGTTAGACTTTTGAACTTATATTTCAAAAAGAATGATTATTTGTTCAACGACATGATTCAATGACAGGAAAAGAATTTAGTTTCTAAAATGAGTTATGTTCAGTATCGAATGATAGTAGTATTCTTGTTTTTAATGTATGCATAATTTTGCATCCGTTCTTTCATTATTCTCAAAGATAAAAAAAACGCATGCGAAAGTTTGGAATTAATTTTGACTTTTCAATAGAACCTTATCTGGTGCTATAAAGAATAACAGAACGAATGAACTATAATGATTTCGAAATAAATATTAATGCATTTTTTTCTCTCATTTATGATTCATAACAATAATCAATTATGTATATGCCAAAAAATAGAAAGCTTTAATTAATACACACTGTAAATTTCATATTTTTAACAAGAATTATTTTCTTTTTCACAACAATCCAGACATCTGTGCATATGCTGTATATTTCAGCTGCGGTACATCGTGACTCTTGTTTTTCCAAAACATGCATTATCATCAAAATCGATCGCCTCAGCGAAGGACTTTATTTTTAAATATTTTTCATCGGAATTTTAGCAGAACTTTTAAGAAGTTGACGTGTTTTTGAGTTAAAGGCATCTACAACATCTCTTCGGCTACACTCACGAAAAGATAAACAGGCAACAAAATGGATTTAAAATTTAGTTTTTTTTCATTATCGTTTCCGAACTTGTCACCTGAATCTTGCGTTTATATTTTCGTACCACGCATTTTTCTGTTTATTTCAAACCTCAGAGAACGGATCTACCATGAGTATATTAATATGTTGATCGCTTCGCCAGAGAACAAAAAAAAACTCTTTTTTTAAAGCGATGTACATATCTTTGTAAAGCTTCACATTTTCTTTCTCTTTTGACAAATAAATGAATATTTGTGTGTAAATAGCGAATGCGGGAAAAATTGCATTTATATGTAGTCCACTTTATTATGACTCCTCTGACAGTATTATACTTTATAGTGTATTGAGAATAAAATATAATTATATTACAAGAAACGATTTAGATAGTTTCATATAGAATTTGACTTGTGAAACAATGGTTCTTTTATATACAGCACTGGATTTATTTATATTTCATGTATTAAAATTCATTAGGTTTAGTAATGTTACTACCTGAATTTGACGCGATTCCTGTAAATGAAACAACTTTAAGAGAATTTATTATCTGAATAATCTATTGTGCGCAATAAACCATTGATTATCATCTTTTAAACATTTTATAAATAAACGATTGTATCTTAATTGAATATTTATTATGGAATCGATATTTTGATTACTGACAT